TCCTCTAATTCAAGTCATCACATATGAGACCTTTTTTTGGCTCCACCCAAGGTGGTGGTGCTTTGAGAAACTAAGGTCCAAATTTTCATTCCTAACAGAACCGGAGTCAGGAAAATTCCTAACTCTGCACAGCCAACTCAGGAAAGTATGCTTAAAATGACTTGATTTCATTCCTGGGGTGCAAGTGCTAGCTGGAGTCAGGTCTACCACTCCCAGAAAGAATGCAGAGGCTGCCAGAGGGACTGTCATGTGCAGAGGTGGATTGTGGAAATGGCTTGCCTCAGCCATTTTTGTTCCAGCTGTTCAAAAAAGGAATAAAAGCAAAAACAGTATTCAAGCCCTCAAATCCACTCACCACCTCCCACACACTCCATACAGATGGTCCCTTACACCTTGCTCGATCTTTGCCTTTCTACCAAATGGCCCCTCAAACTCGACATATCAACTTAGTTTTAATTCATACCAAGCCATTCATATATATAGCCTTTTAGTGTAACGCACAATTTTGGTCTCCCTGTCTGAAGAAAGATATACCTGCCACAGAATAAGTGCAACTAAGTTGATTCCTGCGATGGCGGAATTGTTCTACGAGGAGAGAATGAGGAAAGTGGACCTGGATCTATATATTCATTGAAGTATACAAAAATTCTGTCAGGCTTGATAAGGTAGAAGCAGGAAGGCTGTTTAGGCTTACTGGGAGGTGTTCAAGGATCAAGAAACAGTCTCATAGTAATAGGTAGACTAAAATAAGGAAGAATTTCTTCACTCAGAGCACGATAAGATTGTAGAACATAGAAAACCACCTTGGGTGGAGCAAAAAAAAGGTCTCATATGTGATGACTTGAATTAGAGGAGGGTGAAGATCTTGGAGGATTGTAGGGCTGGAGAAGGTTACAGAGTTAAAAGGGAAGGCCATTCATGACATATCCCAGAGTGGATTCTCTACTTCAGAAGGCGATGGATGTTTGGTCATTGAGTATATTCAAGATGGAAATCAATAAGGTTCTACATAGTGAAGATATCAAGGGATAAGGACATAGTGTGGGAAAATGGCATTGAGGTTGAAGATTAGCCATGATCGAGTAGAATGGCAGAGCAGGTTTAATAGACCAAATGGCATACTCCTGTTCCTATCTCCTATGTCTATGTATTAAAGCCCCTATGCCAACTCATATAATCCTGATACCCTTCTTCCACTCATCCTCATAGCCATTTAAAACCCCAGGCAAGCTTCGTGCCAACTCAGGTTAATGTATATTTCCCATCCACCAGCATTTATTCTTAGATACTCTATGCCAACTCAGCAGTATCTACTATTGGACAGGCATAATTAGCCATGGTGAGATTAACTAACATTCTATATGTCTATTACAGACTTAATTTTTTGAAAAAAAAACAATTGACAAAAGCTCTTACAATACATCTGAGATCTTCAGATTTCTTCAGATCTTGATCAGAGATCTTGAGACTAAAGATCTTCAACTACTTAATCCTTACAAAAACAAATATTTCCTTTAACATTTCTATTCATGTTAACACAAATACTTATATTCATAGCTCCACTATGCTAATATTGTTGTAACTACTTGGAGTTGTCAATCCAACTATGAACAGACAGACCCCCACTGTTATAATGATAGGTTATGCAAACTGTGAAGCAGCAATACACATTATGTCAAGAAAGGAAATAGCAAGCACCAATTTCTTTCAATTGCATCTGGATTTTTTCAAAACTTTAAAACGCTTGGGGTTTAACTAACATGACAGTTTGACAGTTGCACACAGCTTACCCAGCTTTCATGCACATTTACATCTATTCTTAAGACTCCCAAAAGTCTACCTGACTCTCTAAAGAACTTTCCTCAGTTCAAACATTCTTCCTGAAAAAAGTGTTTTGGAAATCCCACAAATGAAAATTGCTTCTGTTTTATGACAGTTGTATTTTCATTAGTGCCACCACCTCGACAAACACATATGTTTAACCCCTGTACCTACATCCACCAATAAAAAGATAGGAGTTCTGGAAAGGGGGTTTCAGTACAATTTTGGCCAAGGCACAGTGCCTTCTTTCTTTCACAGAATTCAAATCTAAACTCTGGATTTATGTCCCTAAGACTCTCTGCCTCTCTACTTATTGCTCTTCATTTAAGAATGCTCCCTAAAGTCCACATTTTTAATCTAAACTTTAGCCTGTCATTCCCATATTCTCTTATGTGACAAAGAATCAAATTTTGTCTGAAGTACCTTCCATGCAACTTTACAATAAAAGTGCTGTATATGCAAGTTGTTGTTTCAGATATTTTAATACATTAAAAGCATTATATAAATGCCAATTGTTACTTCCTTCCCATTTTAAAAATTGTTTCACAGGACACAGGCATCACTGACTTGGCCAGCCTATATTGCCTATCCCTAATCTCACTCAAAAAGGTGGTGGTGTGCAGCCTTCAGTACAGCCTATCTGGTTCGGTTCCTTCTACAACATTGTTAAGGAGTTCCAAGATTGTGAATTGGCAACAGTGAAGGAATGGTTACTTTGTTCAAAATCCGGTTATTGTGTGGCTTGGAGAGGAATTTGCAGATAGTAGAGTAAGCACATGCAAGCTGCCCTTGTCCTTCTCAATGGTACAGGTTGTGAGTTTAGAAGGTGCTGCCGAAGGAGATGTGACAAGTTGTGGCAATGCATTTTGCATTGATGGTGCACATGATTATCACAGTGTGCTGCTGGCAGAAGGAATTAATATTTAAGTTGATGGATGGGTACCGACAAAGCAGGCTGCTTTCTCCTTGGAGGCATCAAGCACTTGAGCTGTACTCATCCAGACAGCATTCCATCGCACTCTTGACCTGTGTTTTATAAATGGTGAATGGCACTTGGTAGTTAGGAGGTGCTTCCCCCATCACAGGGTTGCCTTCAATTCCCAACGTCTAACCTATTGTTGTACCACAGTATTCACCTGATTGGTCCGTTTAGTTTCTGGTCAATGGCAATCCCTAGGATGTTAATAGTGGGGGAATGAATGAAGGTAATGCTAATAAATAAAGGGGATTTGGTCAAGACACTTTTTTGTTAGAAATAATTGTCTCCTGACAATTGTGTAGTACATATAATACTTGTGACTTCTCAGCCTAAGTCTGAATGCTGTCCAGATCCTGATGCATATGGACACATGGCACAGTGGTCAGCACTGCTGCCGCATAGTGGCAGGGACCCAGGTTTGATTCTAGCCTTGGGTAGTGTGTAGATTTTGCACATGCCCCCCAGTGTCTGCATGGGTTTCTGTTAGGTGCTCCAGTTTCCTCCATGGTCCAAAGATGTGCAGGCTAGATGGATTAGCCGTGGTAAATGCAGGGTTACAGGAATAGGGTGGGTCGCTCTACAGAGGGTTGGTTTATGCAACTATCAGCAAACATCACCTTTCTAACCTTATGATGAAAGGAAGTTTGATGAAGCAGCTGAAGATAACTGAGACTGGGACACTACCCTAAGGAGCCAGGCTCTTGTGGGATAGTGCTAGGCATCCCTACCTTTGAGCCAGAAGACCTGAGTTTAAAGTCGCACCTGCTCCTGAGATGTGTCATTACACATTTGAACAGGTTAATTAAAAATATCCACCCTGAGGAACAGCAGGGCTCTTGTGATGCAGTTGTTCTGTCCATACCTCTGAATTATAAGGCCCAGATTCAGATCCCACTTGTTCCAAAGGTATGTCATGATGCTTTTGAACATGTTGATTAAAACTATCCACAATATGTACCCTTAAAAACTATAGGGTTCTCGTGGTGCAGTGGCAATTTCTCTACCTTTGGGCCAGGAGTGCTGGCTTCAAGTCCCATCTGCTCCAGAGGTGGGTTATGAAATCCATCAACATTGATTAAAGACACCTACCCTGAGGAATTGAGGACTCTTCTGGCACAATAATATTTTCCCTACTGCAGAGTAGGCAGTACTGAGGCTATGCCCTCAAGTCCTAGCGTCTGCAACTAGTGGAAAAATTTTCTCCACGTCCACTCTATCCAAAACTTTCAGTATTCTGTAAGTTTGAATAAAATTCCCCACTTATTCTTCTAAACTCCCTCAAGTAAGACAGAAAGTTCCAAACCACTCGTCATTCGACAAGCCCTTCATCTCTGGGATCATTATTGTAAACCTCCTCTGCAACATCTCCAACGCCAGCATCCTTCTTTAGGGTCGCTCTACAGAGGGTCGGTTTATGCAACTATCAGCAAACATCACCTTTCTAACCTTATGATGAAAGGAAATTCATTGATGAAGCAGCTGAAGATAACTGAGACTGGGACACATCCATTCTTCTGCCCAAAACTGTATTCCAAATGCAGTCTAACTAGAATGTTATACAGCCTCAGCAGTACATTTCTGCTCCTGTAATGTAATATAGTCCTGTCGAAATGAATGCTAACCTGACCCACTAAATGCCCAGCAGCTCCAAGCTTATGGTTCAAAATTTCGGCATCAACAGTACTTTTTTTTCCCCCCTGAAACACGCAAGACACAATGATTTCCAAACAGTGAAGACTCTGTTGGAAGGGGGCACGGATGAGTAGCCTTGTCTGCCAATATGTATCAGCGTCACTCCGAAGAAAAGGAGACCGAAGGAGACGTGGCGAGATAAACAAGTGCCGCCATCGAAGTCAGGAGGCAGCCGGTTTTTGTCTGTTTTTTGCTGGGGTTCTATACGGTGATGCACGGACATACGGATGTACCTTTCATGTTTCTGTGATGAATACAGAGCACACCTTGGCTCCTTCTCCCAGGGTGCACGGCGCCGTCGCCATGGAGACCGGGCCGGGATGGTGGTCTCAGCTCGGGGCGGTTCGTGACCACCGCACCAAAAAGAGGTGGAAGGGCGGACGGTGCCATTACCTGCCTCGGTGTGCCGCCAGTTTAGCAGTAAGGTGCTAACGGGAAGCGGAGCAGGGAGTGTTAGTATTCGGGACAGTCTGAAACGACATGAACGGTGTAATTGTTGTGAACCTACCCGCTTGGCCGTGCTTTGCCTCCGCTCCCGCACCGAAACTAACCCCCCCCCAACAATGTGCCGCAACTACGGAGAGCGGATGGATCCAAGTGGACTTTGTCCTCTAAGCTCGTCTTCCCGCGGGCTGGGGGTGTGTGAGGGTAGTGAAGGGTTTCTCTGCTTACCACGGATTTTGTTTCAAATGCCGAGAATCAAAGTTTCGCCTAATTATGTCACATACAGTCGAATGATACTCCCTTTTGGCTCCCTCCCGTCCCCATAGTTTCTGATTTTGACCTGAAAGTCTACTCTGTGCGGAGGAATCGAGCTCCCAATGCTACTATGATGCTGCTTGGCCTGCTGTGTTCATCCAGCCCTGCACCTTGTTGTCTCGGATTCTCCAGCATCTGCAGTTCCTACCCTCCCTGGACTGACCTATCCCCTTCCTAACTCCCTACCTACACTCACCTTTACTGGCCCCATCCCCGCCTCTTCGACCTGTTTGTTTCCTCTCCTCTATCCCTCTTCTATCCGCCTCCCACTCTCTCCCTGTTTATTTCAAAACCCCCTTCCCCTCCCCCTTTTCTGATGAAGGGTCTAGGCCCGAAACGTCAGCCTCTCTGCTCCTATGATGCTGCTTGGCCTGCTGTGTTCATCCAGCCCTGCACCTTGTTGTCCCCAATGCTACAGCCCGAGTTTAATGGGTTACTGTTGGTAGGGACTTTAACCGGCCTGAGGGCCCGGTCACTCTCCTGTTTCCATCCCTGCTCAATTGGAACCGGGCCAACACTCAAACTGAAGGACTTTCTTGACTCCGGTAGCTCCAGAGCTCCATGTGTTGCTCAGGTTGTCAGCCTTCCACGATTGAGCTGGAGACTCGAGGAATTGAAGATTAATCACCAGGACTCTGGCATATGCAACCCTGAGAAAAGTTATACGGATATTTAACGTCATTTTCTGTGAAAATTTCTCTTCACAACTTAAAATATCGAAAATTGGGTGGAGAATATTGGCTGGTAGTCAAGCATTTTCTGATTGGGTCATGAGACCTTTGCTTTCCAATGACATAAGGCAATATGGATGGGTGTTCTGGCTAATTGATTGTTAATTTTGTCAAATTAACAAAATTAACAATTTTCTGCTTTGAAAAATAAGCAGTAAGAATTTTTTAAATGTATCCATTTGTGAGATGTAGATATCACTAGAAAGGTCTAACCTATGTTGTCCATCGCTAATTGCCCTTCAGAAAGTGGTGGTACCTACAGTATTGCTGAGTATGGAATTTAAAAACTTTAACTCAACAGAATAAATAAGCAATATATTTCCAAGTCAAGATGGTGATGTGAATTTGAAAAGTGCTTGGAGCTGATGTTTTAAAAAAAACTTGGTGAATTGCTGCTGTGCTTCTAGATGGTACATGTTGTGCAGCTGATGGAGAAGTTAACATTTAAGATGGATGACAGTGCTGATCAAGTGGACTGCTGTGACCCAAGCAGTGTTGAGTTTCTTTAGTGTGGTTCGAGTTGCTCTAATACAAGAAATTGGAAAGATTTCTCTCATACTCTTCATTTGTATCCTTTAAATGGTGGAGTCTTTGGGCAGTTGGACGGCGGGTTATTAGCTGTGCAACACTGAACCTCTGACCTGCAATTGTAGATGGAGTGTATCTGTGGCCAAAAACAGAAGTTGCTGGAAAGGCTCCGCAAATCTGACAGCATCTGTGAAGAAAAAAAAAATCAGAGTTAACATATCGGGTCCAGTGACCCTTCCTCAGAACTTATCTGTGGCAGCTCAGCTACATTTCTGGTTAACAACAATCTGCAGTATAAATGGTGGGGGTTTGATAATGCTAATACCAGTGAATATCGTGGCAATGTGGTTAGACACATTTGTTTTAGAGAGGATTGTAGCTTGGCATTGTTTAGCGTGAATGTTACAAGTTCAAGCCTAAATATTAACTAGGTCTATCTGCATACAATTGTGAACTGTTACAGATTCCATCAATTGTACTGAATACCACAAAAAATTATCAGCAAACATTCCCGCTTCTTTCTGATGGACGGAAGGTAATTGAAGAAACAGCAAACGATAGCCAAGCCTTATACAGTCTCTAAGGGAATTCTAAGATATGTTCTGGAAATTAGATCTTAAGATTCCAAAAGTCACATCCACCTTTCTTTATTGCTAGGCACAACGCCAACCGGGTGAGAGTTTTCACCATTGATTTCAATCTTCCCATTCTTGATGTCCTTGATACCACACTTAATCGAATGCTGCTTTGATGTCAAGATCTCAGATTCAACTCTTTTTTTAATCTCTGTTTGGCTGAAGACTGTAAGAAGGAATGGATCATGGTACTCTTGGCAGAACCCAAACTGAGCATGTTGAGCAGATTAATGAGTAGATAGCTGTGCAACGGCTTCCATCACTGACGATTGAGGGATCAGATTTGTCATGCCTTTTGTGGGCAGGACATACCTGAATAAACTTCTGTTTTGTTAATTGTATAATTTGTACCGGAACAGCTAGATTGGGAGCATAAGTCTTCACTACTGTAGTGATTGGAACGATGTCAGACAAGTCGATCTCATAGAATGAGTTCCCTAATAGGGGCTGTAAACTGGTTCAATCAGGGACGCCTAGCTGATAGATATAAACAGGAGTGTCGGGGGTTGTGCTCACTCTAGGAGCTGGCTCTGTGCTAGCTAGGTCAGTGTCGTACTATGCACGTGTAAGTAAAGGTGACTTGGTGATGGGATACTGGCCTTCATGGAGTTATTTCAGTGGCAACGAGATTTAAAAAAAGCATGTCCCTGAAGAGATTCGCTTGCAACAGTCATCTTTGAATTGGGGTGAACCCTCTTGACGTGTCATGATTTGGGAAGCTTAACTCATTGGATCCTGCCGTCAAAGGCTGGGCCTAGTATGTGGAAAGAATGCATTACTTTTTCTGGGCAAATGACATTGGACCAGACAAAAAGCAACAAGTAATTCTCCTGACAGTAATGGACCTGCAGCATTTTTGGTTATTAGGAGCCTGACTTTCAGAGGGACTGGATAGTAAAACCTTTCAAGAGTTGATAGATTTAGCTAAGGAATATTACAACTCAAGCCTCCTCTAATTCTGAGATGCAATCTGTTTTATTTAACAAATTGAGAACCAGGGGAATCCATATCAGGAGTTTTGATGAGAGTTAAGATGACTGGCCTGTGAGTTTCATTTAAACTTAAGTGAGATGCTGAGATGAGACTGTTTGGTATGTGGGATTAATGTGACCATACAAAAGCACCTACTAGCTGAAGCGCAACTGGACTTCAAACAGGCACTAGAACTGGCTTTGTCGTTAGAAAGTGCAGCAGGTGGAGCTGATGAGTTACAGGGTATGCAGATGGAAGTGGACACCCTTGCCAGTCAGACCAAGCTTGGGGAGCACCATTTGAGTGAAGGCAATTGCATAGCCTCACTCATGGAATATCTTGAAGAGAGGGACCCTAGGTCAATCCACAGCAAAACCCCAAAACAAAGCCAAGCCTCAGCCAAGCAGTTAAAATTTTCTCAAGGGTCTGGGCCGGCAGGCCATTGCAGTTGCTGCTGGTACGTGGACTCAAGACAGCAAAATAGTCCAACTAGGCCTGAATTGAATAAGAGAACTCATAGGCTGGTATCCAGGGGAGTGTGCACCCTGGAAAGTCCAACTACAGCTAGTTAGAACAGTTAAATTCCTTAGCAGCATCCAAATCAGAACCAACCAAAATAAACCTCTGGTTAAATGGTCACCCAGTTCTAATGGAGGTTGATACCGATGTGGCTGTAACATTGGTAACGTTGATTGCAGAACGGATCTTTACCAAAATTCGCGCTGGACTCCAATCCTTAAGTTTGCGTAAGACCTCAGCAAGGCTGAGAACCCATACCAGGGCACTCCTACAGATTAAGGTATAACGTAAGTTCTGGTTTCTCATGAGAACAGCTGGTTCAGTTACCACTGATTGTAGTAAAAAACTTGTGCCGAAACTTGATGGGGCAAAATTGGTCAAGAAAGATTCACCCTGATTGACTCAACATCTTTTGATTAGAACGTGGTTGCCCGAGTGAAGTCCTAACAAAATACCTGGAAGTTTTTAGGGGAAGTCTAGGGAGTGTGAAAGGGGCCAAAGCCACCTTACATGTTGACCAAGAAGCAATTCCACGATTCTGCAAGGCCTAATCAGTGCCATTTGCCTTGTGTGCACAAGTCGAGACAGAACTCAGGAGACCGGAAAGTGTAGGAAATATCAAACCAGTCCAAGTTGTGGAATGGGCAGCACCAGTCGTACCAATTGTGAAGGCCAACGGGTCAGTTCACCTTTGTCGGAATTTCAAATGAATGGTGAACTGCTTTTTCACAGCTGGATAAATACCCAATCCCTCGCATAGAGGATTTGTGTGCAAAACCGGCGGGTGTGGGTGCTCTCCTTCCCAAAGCTGGATGTGAGCCATGTGTATCTGTAATTGTGATTAGTTGAGGATTCCCAGAGGTTTGCTACAATTATTTCTCATAAGGGTTTGTCCCAATAAAGAAAACTGCCTTTTGGGGTATCATCATGCTCCATTTTCCATCAGAAGATGGAAAACATTTTACAAGGTCTACCCCAAATTGCCATTTTTCTAAATGATGTGCTAATAATCAGGAAGACCAACAAAGAGCATTTAGAGAACTTGGATATAGTGCTTAAACATTTCTGCAAGGCGGGGGTATGCCTTAGAAGGGAAAAGTGTATGTTCCAGGTACCCCATGTGACCTACTTGGCCTAGAGAGTCGACAAGACTGGGTTACACCTGTTAAAAGATAAAATGAGGGCAAGTAAAGGTGCCCTGGCTGCCAAATTCCTACTGGAGCTGAAGTCTTCCCTTGGGGCTGGTGAATTATTACAGAAGATTCATACGTAACCTGGTCTCCATCCTGGCACCCTTATATTTGCTGTTGAAAATGGGTCAGCCTTGGAAATGGTCTCGTAGCCAAGATGTAGCCTTTAGGGAAGTGCAGTAGCAGCTGTCATCATCTAACATAATACGATCTCAAGTGAGATGTGGTGCTGATGT